GTCAGCCTTCCTGCTCCTCTGATGCTGCTTGGCCTGCTGTGTTCATCCAGCTCTACACCTTGTTTTCTCAGATTCTCCAGCATCTGCAGTTCCTACTATCTTTGATACAAGATATGGTGGTTTCTGCGAACAGCCGAAAGTTTGATGCAATCTGATACGTTCTGCGAGTTTGTGGAACCTATAGCCTACGTACTTGACATCACACTGGCAGTGATGCATATATAACATTACAGGTAGTCCTCCTATAATACGATAGTTGCATTATTGTGTGACCTTGCACTCTCAAATTGCCATAGAGAATCACATTATAGGGAAATTGTAGTGGAAAATCACTATACCTGGACAGCTGAAAGTTCGTGTTATCCAGACAGTTTCCACTATTCATCAATCGTGTTGCAGCCAATTCGTGCTAATGAAACATGCATTATAGCAGAACTACCTGTACTCATTTGTGAGAAGGGCAGAACATCTTGTTAGCTTGACATCAGCATCCTAGGTGAACACCACGATCAAGTGTCTGCCTTAGGCCTTTCATAAATTTGCACAATATACAATGAAACAGCACCAGATCATGGAAAGCAAAGGATGGCTTTGATGCATGTTATTTCAGCATCATGTTTGCACATGAACAATCCACTTTGGCCTCAGGTATGTGGTTGCTGGTAAGGCCAGTGTTATAGGGCATAGATCTGTGGGAATCTATATTGACCAGCAAAGGTAGGTTTGTAATTCAACCAGGACCTCTTGACTATTCCATTTGAAATATGAATTTGAACACAAGATGAAACACATTAAGAGATGTATCAAAATTCTTGCATTCAGATGCAGATTCATATGTAGCAAATTTCATGTTGATGATCTGCTGCTATGCTTGAATCTGCAGCTGCATGTAAAAATTTCCTTGCATGTTTTAATGGGCTTCATCCAATGGCAAATTCAGGTTTGAAACGGAATGTCAAATGAGCTCACTTTATTCAATCTCCTAGTTGACAAATTGGTCAGGGGTTCTCTACGACTACTTACTGCAGATCTGCCTTCATGAGTGAGTACATTACTTCGGGATTCTTTCAGCAAAGCTGAAATAGGCGGCGTTAAAGCTGCCAACAGCATCCCGTCCCACCGCCACCCCCCACACCCCCCCAACCAATTGCTTCTCTGTCACAGCAGCTCTTGTTTTTTCCACAGAACTGTTCATTGGTGGGCCCAGAGGTCGCCCTGATGGAGTGGGCACAGAGGCTCTGGAGAATGATCACAAGGGTAGCATGCCCAATGAAATGTGAGGGGTGAGGGCTGCTGGGAAACATTTTGCAAATATACAGTAAGCTTTATTTATTTTCATTTGAATTGTAAACTGTAGGAAGTTGCAGCTTGATGCCTGTATGCCTGCCCACTTAACAAGCTGTGAGCACTTTATAGATGTTTGAGTCGTCGAGCGTGATCATCTGCAATCAGAGCGTGTTCCAAGTTGCACTGATGACTATCCATTAATGCCTGGTGCGAGTTCAAAAGTTCATTCATTCTACCATAATGTATCACTTCACGTTTCCTGGCATTAAACTTAATCTGCCATGTGTGCTCATTCTACCAGCCTGTCTCAATTTTCTTAGTCTGTCACTATCCTCTCAGTTCACAATACTTCCAAGTTATGTCACCATGCATTTTAAATTTGTGTCCAGCACTCCAAAGTCTAGATTATTTAAGTGCATCAAGAAAAACTTTGGCCCTAGTACCAATCCCTGGGGAATTTTGCTGGTGCTTTGCTACATACCACAAAAGACTATCACTTCTCTGTTTTCTGTCTCTTGGCTGACTTGATGTTAATGCTGCCATGGTCCCTTTTGCTCCTTATTATTGGATTCAGTTTTGCTGATAAGCCCATTATGTGATACCTTATCAAGCACCTTTTACATAGGCCAAGTATGCAACATCAATCCTGTTATTCTCATCAACCTTCATTGTTAGTTCATCAAAAAGATCAATCAAAATTGAACCCTAGTTCTGTGTTTGCTCCTTTTATGGAATTCTCAACCTCTATAACTATTTTTTAATGATGTTTGCATTTATACCCCCAGATTCCTATGTTCTTACATCTCTTTTACACATTTAGGCCTATAGTGTATGGTCCACAGAAAGTCAAAGACTGGGCATATCCCAAAAGATGCACGTTGGGATTTCTTGACTCTGATACTGTGACTACACCGTTACTGCCCGATAACTGGAACCCTCTGAATAAATTCCTAACTCGGAGTCTGAGACTTTGGAGGCCTCCAGTTCAATCCTTTTTCTTTCTGGCAAAGTATTAAAACCTACTTTTAATTCTCGGTAAACTATAAAACTAAAGCCCCTGCCCCGATTACACACACAGCCCCACAGATGCCCATGATTGTCACTTTTCTCCCCACCCCCTTCAGAAAGCTGCAACATAGAGGGACTTGGGGGTATAGGGACGGCACAGGACAGTGATCTCGATTCCAGCCTTGGTCGACGGTGTAGAGTTTGTATGTTTTCCCTGAATCTGTCTGGGTTTCCTCCAGGTACTCCAGTTTCCCTCCTATAGTCCAGAGATGTGCAGGTTAGGTGGATTGGCCATGCTAAATTTCCCCGTAATGTCCAGGGACGTGCAGTCTAGGTATAGTAGCTATGTTAAATGCAGGGTTATGTGGATAGGTTTGGGGAGGGGTTGAGTCTGGGTGGGATGCTATTCAGAGAGCCTTACATACTCGGGCTGGATGGCCTCTATCTGCACTGTAGGGATTCTCTAATTCTACTTGTGAACGAAACAGAAGCTAGTACCTAGGTGCAGCAGGTAATCAAGCAGGCTAATGGAATGTTGACCATTATTTCAAGTGGCTTGGAGTATAACAGTCTGGAGGCCTTACTGCAACTCTGCTGGTGAGACCACAACTGGAGTGCTGTGAGCAGTTTTGGTCCCCTTATTTAAGAAAAGATATTATTGGAGGCAGTTCAGAAAAGGTTCACTGGGATGATCCCTGGTATGGAGGGATTGTCTTATGAACAATGGCTAAACAGGTTGGGACTCATCATTGGAGTATAGAAGAATAAAGGTGATCTCATTGAAACTTCTAAGATCCTTAAGGAGCTTGACAGGGTAAATGCTGAGAGGATGTTTCCTCTCATGGAAGAATCTAAGACCAAAGGGCAATAAATGCTGGCCTAGCCGGCGATGTCCTCATCCCACAAATGAATGCATTTAAAAAATAGTGTCAGAATAAAAGGATGATTTAAGACAGAAACGAGGAGGAATGAGTCTTTTGGAATGCCTTACCACTGAGAGCTGGGCTGAGTTGGTAGAATACATGTGTATATTTAAGGCTGAGATAGATTCTTGATCAGTAGGGGAGATTGAGGGTTACAAGGAAAATGCAGGATAATGGATGTGAGGATGGCTTATTTCTGTTCTTATTTCTAACGGTTTTATGGAAAAGCAATTGGTGTGCTGGAACTAGTTGAGGAGTGGCTAGGGTGAAACAATAAACTACCCTGTTCAGAAGCCTGCAGGTGGAAGAGAGGGGAAGATGTGCTCAGTGGTGACATCAGGTGCAGTCAAACCTGCTGAGTATTTCCAACGTTTTCTGTTTTTATTTCAGATTCCAGCACTGCTGTTATAGAATTTGGGAAATTAGGGAAAATGAAAATTCCGACAAGAGGGTTGAAGGTACTATTTTTGTGTCTCCAGAATAAGCTTGAGACAGTATTTGCAAGTTTAGTCCAATGTTTTGCATGGTATGAGTTAGTAAGTAAAAAAAGTACTGTTGGCCGTAAAGTGGATACAAATATGTTAGACCAAAATATTGTTTGGTTGTGGTGCAGGAGTGCAACATATGCAAATTTGTCAGGGATATAATTCCAAGTGAACAATTCAGTAGTGTCCTCATATCAAATTATTCTGGCTGAGAGTCATTGTGCTGAGTGCAAATTGAAGATACTGCACACAAGTGAAGGGGTAAAATATTCAAACCGTTTGCTTCAGACCTTGGTCACACTTTGTTGAGAGATGTGGGTGCGCTTCGAATAGGTTCGATGTAAGTGATGACGTGCATTATAAGTAGATTTGAGTGAAATAGAGAAAGACGATAGGCAGAAAATTACTTCCTGCTTTTGAGGAAAAGGATAAAGAAAGTTAGAAGGATAGCTGAAATGTGTACTAAAGCAATTTGGAGTAGGAAAGTCTTTACAGAGTGAGGAGGAAGAGCATAATTTTGTAGCTGTAAGGGAACTAAGCACCATTTGTTGGCGACAAGTAGGTTAAATGATCTTGCTTATCAGTTGCCAGTCTGAGGAACGGTTTGAACTTGTTTGAAAGGAAATTTTGAAGGCAATGGGTGAATTCATTCATTGTGATCTGTACTGGGTCAACAAGATGAATAGGCAAGAGGCCCTGATTGGCAAGTATCATGAACTAGATCTCGGGAGTCCAATCTTAGGCTTTTAGCAGACCAGTGTGCAAATTGACATCAGGTTAAAAAGATTTAAGGAGGTAATAATCTGATTGAAGGAGTAATGTGGAAAGGAGGGCTTCAATTTTATGGGACATTGGTTCCAGTAATGGGGCTGGAAAGAACTGTGTTGTTGGAATGGTTTGCCACTAAATTGGGCTAGAACAGGGTGCTAGTGGCAATGATAAATATGGTGACCATGAGGATTTCAAACTGGGCAGAGAATGGGAAATTCTTCGCGTTAGCCTGACCTCAGTCGTTGATAAGATTTTAGAGTCCTTTTATTAAGGATGAGATTGCGGAGTGCTTGGTAGTGCATGAAAAATAGGGCTGAGTCAAAATGGCCATGCCCAGGGGTCACCGATCTGCTGGAATTTTTTGAGGACTGGCATGGATAGAAGATTGACTGATTGGCAGAAGACAGAGTGAGGATAAAGAGGGCTTTTCAGGATGGCAGCTGGAGAATAGTGAGAGTTCCACAGAGGACGCACGACATGTCAACGATCTGGCTGTAGGAACTGAGGGCATTATTCCTAAATTTGCAGTTGAACAAAAATAGGTGAAGGTGCAGGGAGTGTTGAGGAAGTGGGCAGGCTGCAGAAGGACTTGGACAGTCTAGGAGATTGGGCAAAGAAGTGGCAAATGGAATACAATGTGGGA